GTTAAACTATTGAGTCATCATTAGAAAATGAAATAATATTATACATTTTTAAGAACAATTTTTAGTAACATATTATTTCTGTCTGAATAAGTAAGAATATAAATTAATATCCTCCACTGGATAGTAATTTTTACTGGTAATTATTTTATCGGATCACTAATCTGTTATTGCCATTTTTACCCTATGAATTTTGAGTTTTTCGAACAAGAGTGATAGTTTTAACGTCTTAGCCAAAAAATGTCTAAGGTTTCTGGAACACATAAATATGAAATAGTTGAAGGTCAAAACACTTAACCCTTTAACTACGCCTCTGAATAGATTGGTGCTTCCTCAGTAATGTTACACTAGAACCGCCACTGCAAAAAAAAAGATCATTTTAGTCAAAATTTAATACAATCACCTCATTTACTATTTAGAAAAAATGTTGACTCAAAACACCTAAAAATATTTAAAAAAAAAAATTAAGAATATGCGTAGGCATATAAACGAAGGAGACGAGTCCATACTTATAATTTATGCTTTCATCTTAATACTAACTGCTTGGGTTCGGCTACCCTTATCCTAAACTTTCACTTGACACGATCACCCACATCATCTACTCTCAAATCAACCGTAAATTTTTTTTTCTTATAATATAGACTCTATATAAAATTTGTGTCTTGGATCAAAATTTAAATTACGACAGTAGCCACAATACATTTTTCCAAGAAATATTTGAATTTGTTCTTAACACTATATCAAAGGGGCTTAGGGGCAATTTACCTGGACAGTGAGAAATAATTAAAGGCAGGCGTTTCTGACATATGATTGATAAAAATTATAACCATTTCTTTGAAATGTATAAAAAATGTTTTCATTTATATCTATGAGTGGATGTATTGTTATGTATACCAAAAAGTATTATAGATGCTAAGAATAATGCAAAATGCGTTAATATAATAATGTCCTTTTTTTCAAAAATTTTTCTAAGAAATTTTAGGAAGTAGGAAGTGTTTTTTTCTTTAACTAGGGTTTAAAATTTCTAATACATACGTTTCTATACAGAGTGCTTAATTATATTTTATTAAAGGAAAATTTAATAAGGCATTTTAAAATTGGTCGTGTTGTAGACGATTCCATAATTACTTATTATTGTTTAAATCTTTAACCTATATTTATTCACAATATTATTGAGTGAACATCTTAAAATTATAATTTTAATATATTTTTTACTTGTGTTTTACTAAAATAATAATTTCTAAAAATATTTCTATATATATGAACACTTGTTTGTCTTAAACGAATTATGAGAATACCGCACACATGTCAATGTTTTTTTATTTACTTAGATTCCGAAACTTGTTAGAACTTTACACTACACATGAAAACTTATTAATAAAAATGTAATTTTTGTTAAAAATTACATTAAGTCTGATTTTAAGTAAATACGAATTCATATTAAAAAAGGTTGAGTTATTGAGCATTTACAAACAAATAAATTACTGAGAAGTATACATTGTTTTCTTATTCCAAAAAATACCACATTTTATCCAGATGTAGGTATGATTTTCTCGAAAAAAAAAATTATGATGTAAAAATAATATGCTTTGTTTAAATATATTATAGTCACATAACAAATACTAACACGTAGCTACAAAAGGATTTTGTCAGAGGGAAAGAGGAATATTCATGGTTAGGCAAATAACGTGTTCTGGCATTTATGTTAATGCTTAATGAATGCGGTCTTATTCATTAAACTCATTGCATGTAGGAACCATTTAGAAATCATATTTTTAATAATTTTTCCTAATATTTTCACATAATTTCTACACAAGTGAAATGAAAGATTTTGCACATAGAGAAGTACTATTTTCCTTACTGAATACTCTGCATATACAATGTGATTTTTTTTTTAAATGATATCTTCCATTTCTTTTTTAATGAAAAATTTTTCCATAAAAATATACTGATTGAAATTTAATTTATTTTTATAAATAATTGTAAAAATCAAGTTTATTATTAGAAAAAATTATTACTAAAGATAGATTTTAGGGGTAACTTTCGAAAATATAATGGGAACTCATTATTTTTTTATTATTATTAAATGAAGAATGGTTTAAATAAAAATTTGATTCGTCGTTATCCAGTTTATATTATTACTTTTTGAGTTATTATAATTTTTAGTTATAGGCGAGAAGGGTACGGAACATTGAAGAATTCTCAACTGTGCGTTATGGTAAAAATAGAGCGTCGCTAATCAATACCTTGTTCTTCACTTTTTCTATATTTTTAAATGTATATTAAATCTATGATACTATTTACTAAAGCGCCCCAGTAGTATCAGTCCAGATATTTGCTTGTGATATTGCCACTAAAGGTCAATTATTCTTTATTTTTTATTGAACAATAGTTATTGTGATTTTTAAGAGAAACTATCCATCAAATAAATAGTACTTCCATATTTATACGCTAATTTATTAACATAATATCTATTTTTTTAGAATACTCTGATTATTAAGAAAAAATAAAATAAAATTAAATAGGTTATCTTTTTGAACGATACAAATGTATTGTTCCACAATTCAAAATTAGATGAAATTTTACTGTATAAATACGTATTTTATTATCATATAATTTCTCAGAATATATACAATAATTTTTTTAATTCTTGAATTTACAGTATAAATTAAATTTGTGATAAGTTGTTATTTATACTGACAACATTTAAAGATTATAAAATAAATATGAATTTATGTGTTGATCCATACACTTTTCAATAAGTTATAGCATTATAAAGTTAAAAATGTAAAAAATAAAATCGNCCATACATTTTTCAATAAGTTATAGCATTATAAAGTTAAAAATGTAAAAAATAAAATCGAAAATTTTCACACAAAAATAGCATTTGGTAGCCATTTTCACCGTGAAGACAAAATAAAGTCTGAAATTGTTTTTTTTCCATAATAAAGTATACTACATTATCTTTAATTTAAGATATATATAAAAGTGTCAGACTTTCCGGAACACTTTCAAAAGTTAAGTTGAAAAAGTTCTACTTTCTATATGCATTTTTTAGATTTGAACCCCCCTCGTATATAGGGAATTGGTCCGGTTTAAAAAAACAGTATGTCAAATAAAAGATGTATATAAATACTACTCCTCATGAAAAAATTGTACTGATCCATACATTTTTCAAAAAGTTATAACATAATAAAGTTAAAAATGTAAAAAATAAAATCGAGAATTTTCACACAATATTAGCATTCGGTAGTCATTTTAACCATGAAGACAAAATAAAGTCCGAAATTGTTTTTTTTCATAATAATGTACATTACATTAGCTTTAATTTAAGATATATATAAAAGTGTAACACTTTCATAAGTTAAATAGAAAAAGGTAATTTTTTGTGAAAAAGTTGTCATTTTAAATCCCCCTCTGTGGGCAAGTAAAGGGTCAGATTTATAAAAAAAATATACCAAATGATAAATAAAGACATCAAGGATCTGTAAAAAAAAAAAGTTATTTTGATTTGCTCATTTTTTTAAAAAGTTATGGTAGTTTTAAGTAAAAAAATTGAAAAAAATTCGAAATTTACCGATTTAAAAAATCGTAATTTTTTGGGGTATTTTCACTAATTACGAGGAACGAGGGCAAATTTTTCAATTTGTTGAGGGTAATGTCTTCAACTAGGTACGATTTGTGATCTTTTAACGTATAGTTGAAAGAAATTGATTCGGCAAGAGCTGAGAAAAAGTGGTAACAGACACAAAAAAAAAAAACATAGTAAAACCAATACTTTCTCAGCTTCGCATCGAAGCTAAAATGGATAATAAAAATTGTAAAATTAACACATTTTATGAACATTTATTTTAAAAATATCAGATATTTTAATTTCAATAATATATAATTATTTTATATTGTATGTTATATATTATGTATTGTATGTTAAAAAATAAATTTCCAAATTTCAATAGAATACAAACAAATTTTGAAATTTCACTTATACTACCAGAACACGAAATTAAAGTTTTAATTGTACTTGTCTTTTCAGTATTCGCATCATGTTTATTAAAACAAGAGTCGCTATTTAGTTGATAATTGCCTGTAAGCGATTCTTCTCAAAATTAAGTTTATGGCTATTAAGATAAGGGTCAATTTTTTCGAGTTCGACAGCAGACGATTCCTCTATGGAAATGTTGATTTTTTGATCACTAAAACTATTGTCAACTTTTCTATGCTCGTCAATAGTCGATGTTTCTTCCTCAACATTAAGATCGTTATTGTCAAGATATAAGATGCTCTTTTTATGTTTATCGGTAGTCAGTTTTCCCTTATTTGCGATAAGTTCATGGCTATTAAAACAAAAACTACTGTTTTCTTGTTCGCCACTTCATTCTCAACATTAAATTTACAGCTACCAAGACAAGTTTTACTCTTTTTACTCTTTCTAAATATTTTTATTATGTCTATAAAAACTATCGTTAAAATCACATTCACTATTTTTTTTCGCCATAGTATTTGCTGTATTCATTTTTTCTTCTTTTTGAAATAATTTTTGCTCTAGCTTACTTTCCATTCCATTTTTTATGTGTCTTCTTAATATTTTATAATTATAATCATAAAAATTTTCCTACAAGTTTTTAAGAGTATTTTCTGATACAGATTTGTAAGAAAACACTCTAAGATATTAGGTGGAGAGAATTTTTTTATCTCAACGGTACAAAATGTATTAAGTTTTAAGGCAAAATATTTTTTTAAATATTTGATTTCACAGTCCGCATAAACTCCATTGTAGAAGGTTGGGTATTCATTTTTTAAAAAAATATTTTCTCAACTTCACATCGAAGCTAAAATGAGTAAATGGAAGTAGCAATGGCATAGCTATGGTGGAGGGCTATAGTACTCCCCATTGTCCAATTATTACTTTAAACTGAAGCTTATAGTAGATAGGTTTTTTTAACAATTAGTTAGTTTACTAACTCACTATTATACACCATATTAAAAAAAGAAAACTAATCAAAAATAGTATACTGTAATATATACTATAATCTTTTAAAAATTTATTTATAACATTAACTGATTTTTTATGATTAATAGTATAATTTTTAAATGTACATAGTGTTACACCTGAATTAATTTCGTTATTTATAAGAAATTTTGTTAATAACAATTTTCAACATAAAAATTAATTATCCTCTTTCACAAATAATTTCTACTACACTAGGTTCCATCAGCACTGGGCTTAAGCATCTATGAACTGAACTGCTCAATATTTCATCCAATAACAGATGTACCAAACTAAAAAAATATATTATGAGGTACATTATTTTGTAGTAATGTAAATATTAGAATGCTTATAACTTTACTTTTCATCAGATACAAATCTCCACAAGTACAATTGTAAATAATGAATATCCACTTGCATTTGTTGAAGACCATATCTATTGAAAGTTTTTAATCTAACACATTCTAAGAGAGTCTAAAAATAAAATAAATATGTATTTAAATTTTTGTATAATAAAATAAGTTCATACTTTAAGGCTTATTTTAATAATTCCAGTTGTAATTGATACTCTAGAAAATTGAACCGGTGAAAATATATCAATTCTTTCAGAAAAGAGACGATTAATAGCAGAAAACGTTTGAGTATTAGTTGCAGTACCACCAGATGACCAAGCTCTTATATGCCTAGACATTTGAGTTCTACGACTGGAATCACTACTTCTATCAGTTCTTGCACCTTCTTCAAATAATTCTCCAACCTATTAATAGTAATAAAATAATTAATTTCTTTATTTTATTTTTAAGTTTAAATATATATATATATATATGTAGTATAATTAAAAATAAAAAAAACATTTAAAATTTTAGTTACTATTTTTTTTTTAATGTAAATTACTTGGCTATCTACAGCAGTTATTTCTTCAACAACACGTTTCATTACAGCGCGTACTGTTCTTGGTTCTAAACTGTGAAGCCAATCTCTGGTTTCAATAGATTTTTTTAACATCTGAAAAGTATAAAAAAATTATTTGATAAATAAAACCAATCTAGTCTCTTACAATGTTATTTACTTGAGAGATTGATAATCCTTCAACACGAACATAATAATTGACTAGATTTTGTGCAACAGAAAGCATGTCTTGAGCAAGCTCAATTTCTGTACTTAATGGATAAGTATTCTTACTTTTGCTATCAGAATATTTATTTATTTCATAGGTTTCATCTACTAGTTGTAACTAAATAATTTAAAATGTATAGATTAAACAATAATTTTTAATTTATCACAAATATTTTATTATAATATTAGAATAATTCATTAAAGATATTGTAATAAACAAAAAAAAAAAATCAAACTATAATAAAAAAACCAGCAAAGTATGGTCAAAGTACAGTGGGGACATGGCATAGTTGGGTCAAGTATAGATTTAATCTGACAGTGATTAAAATCACTATCATAAAAAACAATTTGATGCAAATCTGTAGATAGTATTTAATTTAAAAAATTAGTGGAGTATTCCAAAAGCTATATTNATTTATCTTAAAAAATTTGAATAATTAACAAAAAAATGAATAATAATGAACAAAAAACCCAGCACAGGGGGGTCGCGGCACAGTGGTGACGTGGTATAGATGGATGAAGTATAATATCTGACAGTGATTAAAATCACTATCAAAAAAAAACGCTTCGATGCAAATCTTTAGATAGTGTTTAATTTTAAAAAATTGGTGGACTATTCCAAAAGCTTCATAAACTGCTAGTTCCTTATTAATGTCCTGATTAAGATAAAGTATGTTAAATGAAAAAGGGATTATTAAAAAATAGTATTTCCCATAAAAAAATTATATTGATCAATACACTTTTCAATAAGTTACAGCATTATAAAGTTAAAAATGTAAAAAATAAAATCGATAATTTTCACACAATAATAGCATTTGGTAGCCATTTTCACCGTGAAAACAAAATAAAGTCTGAAATTGTTTTTTTTCATGATAAAGTATATTACATTAGCTTTAATTTAAAATATATATAAAAGTGTCAGACCTCCCGGAACATTTTCAAAAGTCAAGTTGAAAAAATTAATTTTTTGTGAAAAAGTTGTCATTTTAAATTCCCCCCTGTAAGCAGGTAAAAAGTCAGATTTATAAAAAAAATATACCAAATGAAAGGTAATGATATTATGCATCTATATAAAAAAGAATTATATTGATATGTTTATTTTTGAAAAAATTATGGCACTTTTAAGTAAAAAAAATTGAAAAATTTTAGAAAATTAGCAATTTTTAAATTCGTAATTTTTTAGGAGGTTTCCCCCATTTACGGGGAACGAGGGAATTTTTTTCAATTTTTGAGGGTAATGTCTTCGACTAGATACGATTTGTGATCTTTTGACGTATCATTGAAAGAAATTGGTTCGGTGAGAGCTGAGAAAAAGTGGTAACAGACACATAAAAAAAAAAAAAAAAACACATCTTAGTAAGATCAATACCTTCTCAGCTTCGCATCGAAGCTAAAAAGTATGTCAAATGAAAGAGATATATATATAATAGTATTTATCATAAAAAAATTGTATTGATCCATATATTTTTCAAAAAATTATAGCATTATAAAATTAAAATTGTAAAATATAAAATCGAGAATTTAAACACAATAATTGCATAGGATAGCCATTTTCACTATGAAGACAAAATAAAGTATATTACATAAGCTTCAATTTAAGGTATATATAAAAGTGTCAGTATTTTCAGAACATTTTCAAAAGTTAATTTTTTGTGAAAAAGTTGTCATTTTGAAACACCCTGAAGGCTGGTAAAAGGTCAAATGATCACAAAAATAAATCAAATGATAGGTAAATACCTAAGGTATTTATAAAAAAAATATTACATTGATTTGCACATTTTTAAAAAATTATAGCAGTTTTAAGAAAATTTTTTTTTAAAAATTAGCGATTTTTAAATTTGATTTCCAAAAAAATTAACGGGGAACGAGGGAATTTTTTTCTATTTTTGAGAGTAATGTCTTCGACTAGATACAATTTGTGATCTTTTGACATATCATTGAATGCAATCGGTTCGATGAGAGCTGAGGAAAAGTGGTTACCGACACACAAATTTTTTTTTTTAAAAACGCAGTAAAATTAACAGCTTTCTTTCCATCGAAGCCAAAAAATAATTCCTATATTTTTTATTCATTAATATTAAGAATTTACTTTTAATACCCAATTTTTAAACAGATAGGATATTATAAATTTAACTTGGAAATTATTTAACATATATTATTACTCAAATTTACTTTTATTACGGAAATAATTTCCTGGTAAATTATAATTTATAATAATAATATACAATTAAAAACATACCAAATAATGAATACCAGATGATTGATATTCAAGACACATTTTTGTAAGTAGTATAAAAATAAAAGGTGGAGGACAAGGTGTATGAATGTTAAATGAAAGAGCTGTAGAAGACAGATAATGTAAAAATCCGACAACGAGGCCTTCACGGACATTGTCTATACAGATAGTTTTTCTTAATACACTTTTTGATGAAAATGATACATCAGGTTCCAGAAAGGCCTAAACATTAATTATTAAAAATAAATAAAATATGAAAAAAACATTTATTACAATATTTAATTGAAATAATTTATTAATAATTTTTATTTCATTTATCATGAAATATATATCTTTTTAATTAAAACTCTGAAAAATATGTAAAATTCAGAGATTAAATATTTTTAAGTCTTATAGTTTATTTTATATAAACACTAATATATTGATCTTCAAAAAATTATCAAATATGTTTTTCTTTACCAAGATGATAATCTTCTTATTTCAGTTGTTGAACTTATTTCTTTCTGTTTATTTAGTGGTGTTTAACATATTTTTATAACTTACTTATATTTTTTGAAAAGGGCTATGGTAAGCACTGTTTTCAATGCGTGATAAAAAAATTTATTAAAAGGTAGTATATTTTGAAGCAAGACATCTTTATTTTTGTAATAAAAGTCACTTACACAGTTACAGAACAATAACATATGACTAAAGAAGGGCTTAGATGAGCTGGTCCTATCTAAACTTATGTTTGCTTAGGTTTAGTCTTTCCCAAATACAAAAAATAACTATTTTTAAAAGTATCAAAAAAATCATTATGCATGACAAAAATAAAAATTTAATTTAGTAACATTAAATTAGTTATATTATAAATTAAAAAAATTCTAAGTATGAAATATTACTCATAGTAGCAAAGAGTAGTTAATGAAGAAATCCTAAAGTTTTTTATTGAAACAACTCGTAAAAATGGTCTCTAAAATTTAAAAATATGCTTCATGTTTATTCAATGATACTACTCTTGTAGTAATATTTTTATGTTACCACCAATAGTAGAAAAGACCTGAATCAAAATTGTATAACCACATAAATGTGTAACATTAAATTATACCATCAGTACCATATAATTTCTGGTATAACCTCATACTAAAGATTGCTAATCTTTAAAATTGTAAAAATAATTTTTAATTTATGCTTACAGATAAATCTTGCAAAATTCCCTTGACTTTTTCTATGACATCTGAAGTTAATGAAGCTAGAGAATCTGAAGCAAATACCCCTATATTGGGTTTTTGTAATGAAACCAATGATTGTCTAACTGCTGCTAATTTGTCATTAAAATTTGCTTTTAGCATTGCCAAATGTAGTTTACATTGTCGTCTAGCAGCAAAAATTATGACATCAATTGCACTTCTAAAAATTACAATAAAAAAATTTATAATTATAAATTTTCAAGTATTTACAAAATAACCAACAATGTATAATCTTTATATGAAAATAATTTTCCAATAGCTTGTAATTTTCTATAAAATCTGTCCAATGCTCTCACTAAAATTGCTGTGTCACTAGTGTTTTTATCTATGTAAAGTTGAACAATTTCTAAATAACGAGTCATATTATCATCCACAAATATATTTAACTGATTAACAGTTCTATCAGTCTCTTCATTAATATCACTAAAACAATGATACTTATCAGTATTAAATATTTATGGCATACAAATTTCATAATGTAGAACACTATTGTGTAAAGATTTCATAATAAATAAAATCTACTTCAACAAACTAAATAAATCAAAAAATTATTTCATTATTTCATAATCTAAAAATATGAAATTTAGTAATCTTTAAAATATTTTAGTTTCTATATCATCATTTCTAAGATTTTAATAATTTTACATAATTATCAGTAAAATAATTTCATTTTATTTTAATTTAGCTCTATTAAGAAAAGCACCTTTTTTTAATTTCATACATTTATTGTATCATAATAATTTAATTTTTGTTTTTGACCAAAGTGTAAGTGTGATTAATGACCAAGAATTCGGTGAAAAAAAATATCATTATGAATATAAAGTTTTTAATTCAATTTAATCTCCTTTTTGTGCAGAAAAGAAAAGTAGTTAATTGTGATACTTTAGACATTAGCTATATTAGTTTTCTATGCTACTAATAAATACTAAACAAATTTTAAATACTTTGTTGTTAATTTTTCTAAAAACATATCGTTATATGATGCAATAACTAAACATAATTGACTAAGGAATGTGTCACTTCCCAAATCAATGAACTCAATCATGTCCTAAAGAATACAAAAAATATTTATAGTTGTTTGTAAAAAATTAGTTTTTAGTAAGTTTACTTGGTTTAAATTTTCCACTTGCAATTCTAAGACATCTAGATATTCATAGAGCCTAGTTTTTAAATGAAGCAAAAATTCTTTACACAAAGTTTGAACAGGTTCATCGAGTTGAAGTAATAAATCAACAGATTTTGCTAATTCTTTTCCAGATATCTATAATTTTTCAAAAATAAATAATTTAATTAAAAACAATAAATGTTTCTCAAAAACTGAAAACATTTTCAAAATTTGAAATGAAAAAAAAAAATTGAGATCATTTTTCCTTTGTTCAAAATTTTCTTATACTTAAACTTTTTAATTGAATTTAATTATACAAGGTGCCTAACAAAAATAATAAATAAATAAATAAACACATCATGGTAAAATTAATACCTTCAAGGTTTTCATTGAAGCTAAAATAAATGAAGATATTTACAGTATCTTAGAAGTTCTATCTTACTCACATCTTTATCCCTTAAGTGACTATACAAAATAATTTTTAATTTCTCTACTATATCATTGCAATCTTTCAAAATTCCTTTAAGAGATTCTTGATTACTATATTGTGTTAAAACTCGCCGTGCATGTAAATACTCTTGCACTACCTAAACAACATATTATAAAAATAAAATTTAAATCTCATAATTTTTCCTATAATAATTTCTCAGGGGAAAGAAGTATTAATTTTAAACTTTTAATTAAAAATGGTATCTTACTTGAGTATAATCTGTTTTTTCTAATAACTTATTTAAAGTAGTAGGAAGAGTATAAACAAACTGAAACCGTTTTAATAATTTATGAGTGTCAGAAAGTTTTGTTATTTCTTCTCTATTTGCCTAAAAATCAAATCATACTAAACAACAAAAAATGATAAAATATTACAATAAAAAATATTTACATGCAGAGATGATGTAATAATATCTGAAGACTTGGTAATATCATCCATTTTTGATAATAGAATTTCCATATCCCCTTCTAAATTTCTGAAGTCATTTTTCATCTAAAGGATAAATATGTTTTTAATGTAAATACGTCATAATTTTTTTTTGAATATAACTATATCAAATATACAGAGTTATATAGGGTTTAGCTACAGTACTAAGATTCCACAACTTAGGTATGTGGGCTATGGGTAATGACACTGTAGAACATGGTAAAATACTAAAAGAAATAGACCAGAGTATATTAGGATATCCCTCAGAGAGTATCAAACATGTTCTCTAAAATAACATCCTCTACAAAGTTGAGATCTTAACATGTAGAAAATGAAACATAAATTACCCAACTAGGAAATGAGGGTTTGTAATTTATATAAACTGCTCCAAGAAATCAGGAAAGGTAGGTGTTGTCATTTGGGTATTAAAACCTCATATAAATATCAGCATATCAATGGACAAAACACTCTCTGCGATACAAATAGAGGCAATGGCAATACTAGTAGGGGCCCAGAACCTGCTAATATTTAAAAAAAGAGAAACATAACTATCTTAAGCGATAGTCAAGCTCTGAAGACACTTAGTATTAAATAGGTGACTTAAAAGCTAGTCATTATATCATGCAGGGTCACTTTAGAATCACTAGCACAATTTTTTAAAGTTACATTAGCAATGGTACCAGGACACAGTGGTGCGTCCGGTAATAAAAAAACAGACTTTCTAGCGAGAAAAAATGTTCATTAAGTCTCACAGTGTACTACTGAGCGATTTTAATAACATAACTAAATATCAAATAAGCACTTTGACTGGACCTATGACAAAACACAGTAATCTGCTTAAGTATCTATAAACAATGGAAGTGATAGAATAACGAAAATAATAAATCAAAAATTTGGTATGTTCAAATCTCATATACATCAATTTAAATAAATAAATAAAATATATTTACAATTTTATATTATGAATACAATGTTTCTAATATTGTAAATTTACTTTTCCAATTGTATCAGTAGCCAATATAAATTTATTATAATTTTCATACACTAGTGTTTTCATATCAGAATGTAGTGATTGTATATCTTGATGAATTTCTTTTTCGTGATCCATTACTTGCCTTAAATTAGATTCCTGAAATAAAAATAACTTAAATTGTTTTTATACACCAATAAAATAAACAATAAATTACAATACCTTAAGTACTTTTTTAACATACATATCAGCATTAAAACACACACCATTAATATCAAAAGGACTTTCTGATTTTACATCCATTTGTAATTTTTAATTCGTCAACTATAATTTACTATTTTATTGTGTATTAATTATATATTAAAGCATTTAAAAGCTTCATCAGATTTGTATTTCCTATTAAATTTAATTTATATATTTATATTTTACAATATAATAGAAAATATAAATTGAATTTAATAAATTACACTCATTTATAAATCAAGAACTTTAACTATATTTATTTTCCTAGTAGTTTTGTAAGTTCCAATTATTTAGTTCTGTAATTATTCAATAAAAATTGTGTAAAAAACTAAATTATGGCGATTGCCACGAACTGATAATGTTCCGACATCGTAAACAATTCCTCCGAATACATTTATCCCAACAACAATTACTGCGAATATCTGTTTACAAAAATTTGGATTTTACAACGACGATAATTACTCTGAATCTCCTATTTAATTTATTGCTCTAAATGAAATTTACTGTGAAAATCGATAATTCACGAAATTGAATAATAAAGTTATCACAATCCGGAATAGATGAATATCGTAGTAATATATATAATTAACATAAAATAGTGTTATAATTGTTTACTGTCTATTAACAAATAATTATTACAATAAAGGCCTTCGAAGTGTATCCGACTTTTGAAACGATAGATATTTTAAGGTAAGGAAGAGGGCTTTAAATTAAAACAGCCCCAGGGAGATAAGATTTCAATTTTCGTACTTTAAGTCATTATTACCTCTCCTTATTAGCGTCTGTTATTAAATCTTTAACTTTTTATTAGTTATCGTATTTTCATTTATTTTAAAATATATTGATAGAATTCGGCATTTAACAAGTGTTTTATAAGGGTATTTGGTACCCCACTCTCTAAAACTGCCATTCCAATTGGTCATGTATGAATTCAAACAATAATATTTGACTTAGTATCATTTCATTGAGTAAAAGTGGACAAGTCAACAAAATTAATTTTATGCAGTCTGAATTTGATCTTATTATTGGTCGCAAACCGAAAAGACTCGAGGGGGCTTAGTATCCAAAAATTCTGTCATAGCCCCCCGAAAATAAAATAATTTATATTCCTTGTTGTATAGGAATATTTTTTAAAAATAAAAAATATTTAAAAAGTTTTTTAATACATGCAGTAATATTATAATGGCTGCTTTTACATGGAAAAACATGTTTTATTAACATTAAAAATATGTTAATCAAACATTTTTAAAATATTTAGCTTCGATGCGAAGCTAAGAAGGTATTAATTTAACAATAAAGTTTTTATTTTTTTTATGTCTGTCGCTACTTTTTCTCAGCTCGCGCAGGACCGATTTTGATGAACAATACTTGACGTATTTTTATTAACTTTTCCTCGGCTCTCATAGAACTGATTTCTTTTAACGATACGTCAAAAGATAACAAATCGTATCTAGCCGAAGACATTACCCTCAAAAATAGAAAAAAATTCCCTCATTCCCCGTTAAAGGGGGAAATCCCCCCAAAAATTACAAATTTAAAAATCGATAATTTTCAAAATTTTTTCAATTTTTTTTCTTAAAACTTTTTCAAAAATGTCCAAATCAATATAATTTTTTTTTATAGATACGTTAGGTATTTACCTGTCATTTAAGATATTTTTGTGAACATTTGACCTTTTACTAGCCTTCAGGGTATGTTTCAAATTGGCAACTTTTTCAACTTATCTTTTGAAAGTGTTTCGGAAATACTGACACTTGTATATACAGGGTGGCCCACCACTCACTGACAACTTAAATAACTTTTGATCCAGTTAATATTTTTAGTTGATTTTTTTTTTAATAATAGTTATACGTTAGGTCTATAGCTATATCTCAATAATTAATTTTTTTACATTTTATTAAAAATATTAATTATTTTTAAATTTTAAATAAAATGTAAAAAAAAAATCTAAGATAGCTATTTTGTAGAGTAGAATTTAAGAAAAATTTTAGTAAAAAAATATCTTATTAATATTCAGTAGTAAATATTCTGTAGCGTTTTGAAGTTTGTAAAAATTTGAATTTTCATGTACTATTTTACGGTTATAAACATTGAAATACGTATTGAGAAAAGGACAGAAGAAAACGCTATCTTTTCAATATACTTTTGAATGAGAGTGATAAGTAATAATTGCCTTATCTAATTTCTTATCATGGTATTAATGCCATGTTTGTAATGTATACACACTATCATCATATGTATACACAGTAATCATGAAAAGATAGCGTTTTCTTCTGTCCTTTTCTCAATACGTTCTCAATGTTTATAATCGTCAAAATAGTACATGAAAATTCAAATTTTTACAAACTTCAAAACGCTACAGAATATTTACTACTGAATATTAATAAGATATTTTTTTACTAAAATTTTTCTTAAATTCTACTCTACAAAATAGCTATCTTAGATTTTTTTTTTACATTTTATTTAAAATTTAAAAATAATTAATATTTTTAATAAAATGTAAAAAAATTAATTATTGAGATATAGCTATAGACCTAACGTATAACTATTATTTAAAAAAAAAATCAACTAAAAATATTAACTGGATCAAAAGTTATTTAAGTTGTCAGTGAGTGGTGGGCCACCCTGTATATATATATATATATATATATACAGGGTGGCCCACCACTCACTGACAACTTAAATAACTTTTGATCCAGTTAATATTTTTAGTTGATTTTTTTTTTAAATAATAGTTATACGTTAGGTCTATAGCTATATCTCAATAATTAATTTTTTTACATTTTATTAAAAATATTAATTATTTTTAAATTTTAAATAAAATGTAAAAAAAAAATCTAAGATAGCTATTTTGTAGAGTAGAATTTAAGAAAAATTTTAGTAAAAAAATATCTTATTAATATTCAGTAGTAAATATTCTGTAGCGTTTTGAAGTTTGTGAAAATTTGAATTTTCATGTACTATTTTACGGTATTAAACATTGAAATACGTATTGAGAAAAGGACAGAAGAAAACGCTATCTTTTCATGATTACTGTGTATACATATGATGATAGTGTGTATACATTACAAACTTGGCATAAATACCATGATAAGAAATTAGATAAGGCAATTATTACTTATCACTCTCATTCAAAAGTATATTGAAAAGATAGCGTTTTCTTCTGTCCTTTTCTCAATACGTATTTCAATGTTTAATACCGTAAAATAATACATGAAAATTCAAATTTTCACAAACTTCAAAACGCTACAGAATATTTACTACTGAATATTAATAAGATATTTTTTTACTAAAATTTTTCTTAAATTTTACTCTAAAAATAGCTATCTTAGATTTTTTTTTTACATTTTATTTAAAATTTAAAAATAATTAATATTTTTAATAAAATGTAAAAAAATTAATTATTGAGATATAGCTATAGACCTAACGTATAACTATTTTTTTAAAAAAAAAAATCAACTAAAAATATTAACTGGATCAAAAGTTATTTAAGTTGTCAGTGAGTGGTGGGCCACTCTGTATACATTAAATTAAAGCTTATGTAATATACTTTAAAAAACAATAGTGAGTAAATAGGTTAGTAAGTCTAATAAAATACAATAAAGGTTAATTAATAAATGGTTGACTGTATATAACAGCAATAAAACTAAGAAAAAAAAATATATAATATACCATTATATTTACCACACCATAAAGGTTATAAAAAAAGTTCTCTTATAAAAGGTCTGTTTTTAAAATTTGTGACAACTAGAGCAAAAGTAATTGTGATAATATCACAACTGATATCATAATAAAATTTACAATACTCTTTGTTCTGTCAAAGAGAATTGTCATTAAATTTTAGTTTATTAAGAGTCAATTCGAGCCCATAACAAGCGAAAATACTGAGTGCCCCGACCAGAGGTGTTTTCGAGTCGGTGGCATAACACTTTCAACAATACGTAAAAGATCACAAATCGTACCTAGTTGAAGACATTACCCTCAACAAATTGAAAAATTTGCCCTCGTTCCTCGTAATTAGTGAAAATCCCCCAAAAAATTACGATTTTTTAAATCGGTAAATTTCGAATTTTTTTCAATTTTTTTACTTAAAACTACCATAACTTTTTAAAAAAATGAGCAAATCAAAATAACTTTTTTTTTTTACAGATCCTTGATGTCTTTATTTATCATTTGGTATATTTTTTTTATAAATCTGACCCTTTACTTGCCCACAGAGGGGGATTTAAAATGACAACTTTTTCACAAAAAATTACCTTTTTCTATTTAACTTATGAAAGTGTTACACTTTTATATATATCTTAAATTAAAGCTAATGTAATGTACATTATTATGAAAAAAAAACAATTTCGGACTTTATTTTGTCTTCATGGTTAAAATGACTACCAAATGCTATTTTTGTGTGAAAATTTTCGATTTTATTTTTTTAGATTTTTAACTTTATAATGCTATAACTTATTGAAAAGTGTATGGATCAACACAATTTTTTTTTATGAGAAATAATATTTATCTCCCTTTTTCATTTGACATACTTTTTCTAGATCAGGATATTAATAAGGAAATATCAGATCATGTAGCTTTTGGAATAATCCAGCAATTTTTTAAAATTAAACATTATATAAAGATTTGCATCGAAGCATTTTTTTGATAGTGATTTTAATTACAGTCAGATATCATTATACTTGATCCACGTATGTCACGTCACCACTGTGCCGCGACCCCCTGTGCTGGGTTTTTTATTTTGAAACCTTAGGTAATTTCCTTTTATTTGATATAATTTTTTTTGAAAATCTAACACTTATTCTACTCACAGGGGGAGATTTAAAATAGCAACTTTTTTACAAAAACTAACTTTTTCAACTTAACTTTTGAAAATGTTCCGGAAATATTCACAATTTTATTTGAACTTAAATTAAAGCTTATATTATATAGTTTACTATGAAAAAAAAAAAAATTCAAAATATACATTTTCTTCTTGGTGAAAATGAAAACCGTATTCAAAAATATGCAATTTTTGTATTGAAATTCTGGGTTTTGTATTATATATTATTTTAAAATATCTTACAAGGGGAATACACTGATTTTCATGAATATTATATAATTTAATGGACATAGAATAAAGTTCATAAGACATAAGAAATTAAACTTATTAAAATTTTTTTACTTTTTTAAAGTCGAAAAAGTAATTTTTAAATTTGAGTTAGTTTAAATTCTTAATTTTATCACGCGATGAAGGTAACAAACAGTTGCCGAATCGGTAA